TTGTGCAATGGTCAGCAGCATCCCTGGCCTCTGCCCACTAGTTGCCACTGTCCCACCTCCACCTCAGTTGTGTCAACCAGAAGTATCTCCAAATACTGCCAGATGCCACCTACCAGGCAAAATCACCCCTGGTTGAAAACCACTGTTATCTATAGGCCATATTTTAGATTCCCTCAACATTTCTGAGATTCATTTTCTAGAGATTTCTTAAAAATCAAAAGAACCTAAACAAACTCTGGTGAAAATTCTAAGATTCTTGTTTGTAATAGAAGTTGAAGTTACCCCAAATGGCATTATCTAATAGATGAGGCAGAATCTCCTTTATTATTTTTATTTGGTATAATATAATGTTGTTATAATCATAAATATATTGTGAAATGTTATATTTAGATTTCCTTCCTGTATTAAACAAAACCTGCATTTTATAAAAACAAAAGTTAGAAATGGATGAGAAACCTAGATGTAAAAACTAAAATTATAAAACTTCTAAAACACAGCAGAATATCTGCTGCAATGCAGCAGAAAAACTTCACAGCCTTGGAGTAGGCAAAGATTTCATAGACAAGACCCAGAAAGCATTAGCCATAAAAGAAAAAAATAATAATAAAATGGACTTGATGAAAATTAAATGCTTCATCAAAAGAGACCATTAAGAAAATGAATGGGCAAGAAAATATTTATAATATATATATCTGACAAATGACTTGTATAAATAAAAAAAAACTCTTACAACTCCAGAACCAGACAGACAACCCAACGTTTTTTAATAAGCAAAGAAATTTGATCAGTACTTTATTAAAGGAGATTTATAAATGAACAGTAAACTGATGAAAAATTGGTCAGTATTATTAGTTGTCAAGGAAATGCAAATGGTAATCACAGTGATATTCTACACATGCCCCTTAGAATCCACAAATCAAGGACTGACCACACCCAAGTGTTGGCAAGGGTGGGGAGCAGCCAGAGCTCTCACACTGCTGCTGGGGATGCAAACGGATACCAACACTTTGGAAACCAGTCTGGCAGTTTCTCATAAAGTTAAACAAATGCGTCTACCCTAAGACCCAGCAATTCCATTCCTAGGTGTTTACCCAAGAGAAAGCAAAATGTATGTCCACACAAACTTGCACAAGAATAGCAGCTTTAGCAATAATAGCCAAAAACTAGAAATGACCCAAATGTGAATGGTTGGCCACAGGAGAATGGATAAAGTGTGGTATATTTGTAAAATAGAATTCTACTCAGCAATAAAAAGGAGTGAACTGTTGATACATGCAACAACCTGTATAAACCTTAAAAAACACTATGTTGGACAAAAGAAGCCTGACCAGATTAGTACATACTATATGATTCCATTTATATGAAATTCTACAGTAAAGAAATGAGAGTGGTGCTTGCCTCTGGGAAAGTGGTGCGGGGTCAACCAGTCGTTCTTCCCGGAGCGATTGAAGTATTACGTGTCTTGAGATAGATATGGGTTACATGGATGTGTGTGTCTTATCAACTCATACTCATTAAGTCATGTGCACTTAAGATCTGGGTACTGGACTGTATTTAAGTTAAGCCTCGATTTTTTAAAAAAGTAACTTATAGAAATTTACTGGCATTCCTCAGCCCTCCTGCTGATCTTTTTTTATAGCTTAGGAATAGTTTAGCCCAACTTTACTTTTTAGAGCTAAATTTTATTTATTTATTTATTTATTTATTTATTTATTTATTTATT